TTCCAGAAACCCCAACGACAAGATCGGAATCTACTACGACTCACTTGACATTTACGCCTCTTACCGTAACCAGCAGGTAACTCTAGCGACTCTCCTTTCCCACCACTTACCAAGGCCACAAAGATGTCACCGTCTGGTCACTTTACTTGTACGGCAATGGCGTCCCGGTGGCGCCGTACTTGGCTCCGGCTCTGGCTCAGGACTTGAACGCTGGGATTCTGCTCCTTGACATCAGGGTTGATGGACGGGTGAAATGGAAGGTGGGTACCTGGTTTTCAGGTGGGTATAGGTTGCATGTGAATTGTCCTGCGTATATAATGTTTAGTGATCGGAGCGCCGGTGCCGGCGTGCAGGTTGGACCGGCGGTCAAGTTCCAGCTTGTGCAGAGGTGCACTGTTGATGTTTGATCTAATTAAGTCTCTCTGTTTGTTTCTTCTCCTTCTACATAAAACCCTCTGGCTGGCCGGATGTTAAATATAATTTCACTAAATAAGTTCGGTCATACATATATATATATATATAAAAATATAGATATATATGCATTCAGTCTGCATTAGATCATATATAATTATAAAAGTTCCTTCTTGTTCTTCAACGGATCGGATTGCAGTAAGCCAAAATCAGTGACCAGCAACAATGAAACTGGTGGTTTCAGCAAGATTCAATTATAAGTATTGTAGTTAATTTTCTTCCATCTATAATTTCATGTGATGAATACATTTAATTACTGTTTAAATTGCTAAACACAAACAGTCTACTTTGACTTATCAATTGATGTACATGGTCATAAACAAATTCCAAATGAATATCTATCTAACATTTGAATTTAACAGTAATTAAATGTGTATACATAATATATATATATATATATATATATATATATATAGATAGCAGCGGTTCCATGGATAGTTGACGATTGTTCATGCAAGATTAATGAGTAATTTGAAGATTTTATATATTTGGGATGAGTGATAATACCAAGAACCAGTTGTCCCTTACAAGACTAAGCATATATTTTGGGACCCTGTTTCTTGGAATTGCAATGTCCATTAACATATGCATATATATATATATATAAATATATATATATATATATTTGTCAATTGAACAAAACAATGAAATGGGTTAACCAATAAATCAAATCCATAAACCTAATCTCTAAATACAATACAAGATTTCCCAAGAAAGATTGTGTTATCTTTCTTCAACACTAATACATAGCAAGTTTAAATTATCAACTGGGGTAAATGGTTAGTTCTTTTATTTCTTCAACACTAATAAAGTGTATAAAAATATGTTTTACTTCAATAGATATACTAATTGGAAAAACAAATTTAATTACAACAATTGAAAGAATAAAAATCTCACTGAAAAAAAGAACAAAATGTTAGAGACAATTTTTCATAATTAAACCTAAAAATTAGAATATCCATCCTCTGATTTTGTTTTATTTCGAGGTAGGAGAACATGTAATGAGGATGGAGAAAAACAAACACACAGATCATAAGGAAGCACAATTCTGCAATACACAGGGCGCTGTAGTGTATCAAATTAAACGTACCAAAAAGGGCAACCTCAAAAAGGAACAGAAGAATTTGAACCTTTTAAATACTATACAAAATGAGGAATTTCAATCAAATTGTACATATATAACCAATTAGCCAGAAGGAAAGCTTCCAAAAGGATTCTATGAAGAAAGAAGCTTATAAATACAAAAAAAAAAAAAAAAAAAAAAAAAAAAAAACCACCTCCTAAAGTATCCTCGTGCCTGCCAAGAATTTCCCAATTGTTGGTTCAGCTCGAAAATGATGAGGAAAAAGGACTGTACATGGACTCCCCTAATATCTCCTAAACCAACCATATGCTCCAAAAAAATGCATCTCTAACAGGGTAACTTTCCACGAATTGCATGGAATGAAACATTTCCAAACCTAGACATTTAGATCAATTGTTTTTCTTCTAAAAAAAAAAAAAACGAAAAAAGACTAAAGAATCCTGTCGAAATAAAATAAAAATCAGGATGAGAGTTCTATGCCAAATTGCAAACACTAATCACAATACTGCACTGTTTTATTCACCAGCATTCTCTGTACCAGTTGATCCTGTACTTTGATAAATAAAGAAAATCTATGCTGAAAATTATATACAGCCCTGCTACTCGCTATTTTCTATCTCCCTCACGCTGTCCACTATGTGCTGGATCTTCTTTGAAAGGCTCTCATTATGCTCCTCAATTTGCTCAAATATCAACTCCAAATGTCTTTTGTAGGTTGCAGCTCTCTTTCTCTCAACGGCCAGCTGCTGTGATAACTCCCGTATTTTATCATGTTCATTCTACAAAAGTGACGCAATAGAAAGATAAGACGCAAACTAAAATTGAGCTGAAGTTTCTCTTGAAACATTAATATAAAGGGTATATTTGGAAGAATCTAGATAAAATTCAAGGAATTCATCTAAAATTCTCAGTTCTTAAAATTCTCCTTCGAATAGATTCTAATGATGGATTGTAAGGAATACATTTATGCTTCAAATTCATTTTCGAACTCTACCAATTTTCAATAAATTTTAAAAAATACTGTTTTACTTAAACCTACAATTTATTTGGACATGAATTTGATGTGTTCATGTTAGGACTAAATATAAACTAACAATCTTTTCAAATAAATTCCACAGAAATAATGTGTTTGTTTCAAAAATTCACCGAATGAAATTATTGTGGACACGAACTCTGAGTTCCAACAGTGCAGTAGGATTGTCAAGAATTCAGAGAGGTTGACTACGAAAACACGAAATTCTGAGGGGAGAAAAGCTATAGCTTCTTTTTCAAGATCTGAAGCTACAGCACTAGGTTAAACATAAACGACTAAGAGAACCAAAATCCATCTCTAAACTTAAATAAGATATGAAAGTCTAAATAATAGCATTGATTTCGAGTCCACTAAACTAGCTCGCCAATTGAGAAACACAAACTGTTGCGTTTGTTAGAGGGAAGTGAGCTTGCGTAATGACAAAGAACTCAATCCCTGCAATCCCTCCCCTCCCCCCTCCCCCCTCCTCCCCCCTCTCCCACCACACAAAAGAAAACGAGGAAGCCGCATTGAACATGTAAAGAAACAAGAGAACAAAAAGCAAAACAAAATAAAAAAATTATGCAGCATGATAAAAATTAAAATGCTAAAATTTATAGGACAACCCAAGGTAATGT